CAGTGACTGTGCCCAGGGGCTTGGGCAGGGCAGACAGCAGGAGCCTGGTCCAGTGGAGAGCATGCTTCCTACCTGGCCTTCACAGGTATGAGTTGTGGTCAACTTGAAGGCAACTAACAACAATATATGTCTCCACACGATTTGTTGTTTTTATCATGTCATTGGTTGAATTGTGTCTCCCCGATATGTTCATGTAGTGATATAACATGGAAGTTAAATAACGATCCCCCATTCTCTGATATATCAAAGTGTCATGAAAGAATTACGGAGAGGGTGTGACACTACTAATCCCATTACAATCCTGATGCAATGTAGAGGGCATTTCCCTGGACGTGGCTCTAACACCTTCCATCTCACGAGAGAGAAAAAGAGAAGGGAAGCAGGCAGAATTGGGTACCTCATTCTCACCCAGATCGATCTGGGGGTGTGATACATTCTTTGGGCAGCAAACTCCCAAACCAGACTCAAAACTGACTTCTGTTGAGTCAGAATCCACTCACAGCTGACCCTCCAGTGGGCTTCAAGGCTCGAAACCGCATGGAAGGAGACAGCCCGTCTTTCTTCCATGGAGCCACTGACAGAGAAAGGCTGCTCCCACAGTTGGTCCCTGGACCTGAACTTCTCGATACTTAAACTCTGTAAGAATACATTTTTGTTAAAGCCAGGCTTTCTGGATTCAGCTGGGATAAACTCAAGGTCATATGTTGCTCTCATGCACTCCTTTTCATTTTCTTCATCTTCAACTTGAATGTGCACATGATATGGGTTCACTGACATAACGAGGAGAGTCTCATTCCCCAGTGGGATTACCTCCCCAAGGGTCTTGCTGGGGACTGGAGTGGGCTCTGCCTCACAGAGACCTGTATCCCACGGCAACTTAGTGTCTTCACTTCACCTTCATTCCTGAAGGAGCGTGTTCCCATATATAGAAGTCTTGGTTGACAAGTTTTGGGTTTTTTCCCTTTCTTCAGTACTTTAGACACATCAGCTCTGTGCCTTCTCTCAGCCACAGAGCTGTTGACGGGATACCAACTTCTCATCTTACCAAGGATCCGATACAACAGGACGCTTCTCATCTCCCTGGCAGCTCTGCAGATTCTCAGGACTGTTTTAGACAGCGTGGCCAGAGCGTGCATGTCTTAGGACGGATCTCTTCTGTGTTTATGCTGCTAAACACAGGGTGCTGGGCTGCTTGGATGTGTATACTCATGTCTCCCCCCGACCCCAGTCACTATTTATTCCAATTCATTTTGCCCCTTTCTCTCTCTTTCTGGACTCCTAACTAAGATGCTTATATTGATACACTTGATGATCTCACACAAATCTCTGACGCACTGCCCCTTTTTCTTAGTTTTTCTGCCCCTTCCTCCTCAAGCTCAACAATTTTGATGTTCTTATCTTCACGTTCACTAACCTTCCTGTCTGCCCTCATCTTTCGAATCCTTGTGGTGAGTTTTGTGTCACTTATTGCACTTTCACACGTGTCCCTTGAGAATTTCTAATACTTTCCTAAATTTCCCTTCATTCTTTGCTGTTTCCTTTACCTCATCCAGCATGTGTAAAATCATTGACTTCACATCTTGTGTACCCCTGAGTTGCAACTGACCCATAGCTGACCTTCCAGGGGATTTTCAGAGGCAGGAAATCACATGTGAGGAGACTCCTTCTCCCATGAAGCAGCTGGTGGATTCGAACCATGTGCCTTTGGGATTTCAATGCTGAAACTTCTTTATCATTATTTATACTTGGACCAGGAAGCAGTCCTCAGAGCAGAGCAGGGAAACAAAACACTGCATGTTTCCAAATCAGAAAGGGAGTGCATCAGAGATGCATCCTGTCTCCATACCTTTTCAATCTATATGCAGAGCAGATCATTTGGGAGGCTGGGCTTTGAGGAGGAATGTGACATCAGGATTGTTATGCAGATGCCACAACCCTGCCTGCTGAAACTGAGATGGACCTAAAAAAGCACTTGCTGCAGAAGGTCAAGGACTATAGTCTTCAATATGGATTGAAGCTCAACATCAAAGAGACAAAGATTCTCACCACTGGGCCAGTTGGAAGTACCATGACAGATGGAGAAGAGAGAGGTTGTTAATAGTAACAGCTTGCTTAGGTCTACAATCAACACAAAAGATGATTAGGTAAGTCTGCTGTCAGAGACGTTTCCAGAGTGCTGAGAAGCAATGATGTCAGTCTAGAGACTAAGGTGCACCTCCTCCAGTTCACAGTCTTCCCAATTACTTGCCGTGCATCAGAGAGCTGGATAATGACGAAGGATCACAGAAGAATTGATGCCTCTGTCTGACATACTTTGGGCATGTTGCCAGGTGGGACCAATCCTTGGAGAAGGACATCATGCTCGGAGGAGTGGAGGGACAGTGCAGGAAAGGAAGACCCTGGATGAGATGAATTGATACAGTAACTGGGGCGATGGGTGTTGGCGTGGTGGAGTCGGGGAGGCTGGCTCAGGACAGGGCAGACTTCAGAGCTGTTGTACATATAGGGCTGTTATGAGTTGCAGGCAACTCGACAGCACGTAACAACATTTTAAATTTCTTTTACTTTTCTTAAGAATGGTAGAAGTTTGTGCCTATTGTTTTGGGGTTTTTTTCACTAGTTATTTTTCTATTTTTACAATAATGATCCTATGCAGTATTTGTCCTTATGAGACTGAGTTAGTTCCCTTAGCATAGTGCTCTCTAGTCTCTCCCAAGTCAAGTAGTAATTTTTAAAATCCTTGCTCCTGTGTGCTGCACAGTACTCCATCGTGTGAACGTACCTCAAATCCTCAATCCATGTGATTGCAGTTGGACACATGGGCTGCTACCATGTTCTCAGATTTGCAGTTCAAAGTCAACAGCTGCTTGAAGACAAGAGAGGAGGCAGTCTGCTTCCAAAATATGCACATCTTTGTAAACCGTACGTTGTTGTTAGGTGCCATCAACTCGAGTATGACTCCCAACGACCCTGTGATCAACAGATGTGAACCCCGTCCTGTGCCGTCTTCATCATCTGTGACACACGGGAGACCGTTCCTGCAGTCACGGTGCCCATCTGGTTGAAGACCTTCCTGTCTTTCGTCAACCTTTCGACGCAGGACGTCCATCTCCAAGGGACAGCCTCTCCCAGCAACCTGGCCCAAGTACGTGAAACGAGTGTGAACACCTTTGTTTCCACTTCCGTAAACCCCGGAGGGCAGTCACACCATCCTGTCAGGCCGCCGTGAGAATCCACGCAGCACCAATGGGTTTGGCCCAATCATTCCTAGTTTGATGGTGGTTGTTACTGTGGACTCGGAACCATGCTGACCCGGGAGTGGATTCTCAGAATCCATTAACCGCACAAGAGAGTGCCCATCCTTCTCCTGCGGGGCAGCTGGTGGATTTGAACCATGTGCCTTTGGGATCGCAGAGCAGTTTCTTACCACTAGTTTTGTAAGTTTTTGCGCGTGAGCGGAGAATTCTGGATACTCTGGTAGCTCTGGACATTCCGTTCTCTCATCCTTTAGGAACGGGCTTTGGTTAGTTGGTGAAGGCTGCTGTCATCTGTTTATTTAGTGACTTGCCCCAAATATTTTTGCACAATAAGTACTCCAGTTGTGTGTGGTCGCTGAAGCTTCTGCAGGCAGGGGTCTGAACGTTTTCACCAGAAAACGCGTAAGAGCGCTGGGTCTTTAATGGCTGCTGCTGGGAGAAACCACTGCTACGCCCTGGAATGTCGGGGCAGCCGGACCGACACAGCTCTCCTCACAGAGCAACCCCAAGTCCTTGAGGACACTGGGCCCCCTCCTAACTCAGGTCCCAGACAGCCACTCTAGGAAGCTGGTCACCAGCCCTAACCAGGACAGGGCTGACAGCGAGGGTTGGTACTGCTGGCTGGGTATAGCATTGGCACTTAGGGAAAAGTAGCCTGTGTGCCTTCAAGAACTCCCCCAACCAGCGTGGCAGAGCAGGCCCCACACCTCCAGAATCGCCTTCTCCGGCCGCTCATTTGCTGGAGGACCTACCCACAGTACTTCCTACTCCATTATTTGCATCACACTCAGCCAGACTTTGAGTCCCAGTTCAGCTGACACGACGCGCAGTCCGGGCCAGTCAGGACTATATGCCAAGCCTTGATTTCTTGCACTCTGCAGTGGACATGGGGAGCTCTGGTGCCCCAGGCCACAGGGAGTGTGCTGCTATCCCCAAAGCCACGCCAGGCTGCAAGTGCGAATCCAGCGGCTCTGAGGAAGGATGGGCTTCACAGCCTTGGAAACCCAGTGGGGCGGAGGTCAGCTGTGAGGGCAGTTCCTACAAGCCAGCAAGGAGTTTTTAGGAGGTGGCTGCAACAGTGCCTGGCTGCATGACTGTCCGTACAGGGCCCATGTGAAGCTCGTGTGCACAGACGCTGATGGGAGGGACCGCTGTGGCCCTTCCAAGGCTGCTACTCGCCCCTTGGTGGACCCATTGCCAAGCTTCAGGGGAACGCAGGCTGGGAAGGAAGGGGTGGATGGAGCTGCCCAGGCCTCGTCCACAGCTGCTGGATAGGCTGTCCCTACACTGTCCAGTCTGGGGAAGCAAACCCCAGGACAACCAGCCCAGGACCTCCTCCCAGGGCAGCTGCCAGCTTGTGCATCCCTGTCCTCCAAACGGACAGCAGCAATCTCAGCTCTGAAAGCCAGACAGCTGTAGAGGAGACCACCCACGACTTCCTGCTTGCCCGAGTCCTAGCTGGAACAGGACCCACCCTCCTCCCAGGCCATCAGCGAGGAGGGGACCGCCTCATCCCGGCCCTTTATCAGAAGAGCCCAGGTAGGCAGGCAGCTGCCCACATTTCCTTGACGTCACTTTCAGGGTGTGGGGCAAAGGCCTGGCTCCTTCAGGTGGAAGAGAAGCCCCTGGGGTGACTGCTGACGCAGAGCCCCATTCTGGACCTCTATGGAGAGAACAAACAGCCAGCCGGGGGGCAGCCTGCAGGGGTTTGGTGTCTGCCCTCTGTCAAGAGGTGTTGCGTACCTTGGCACAGCTGCATGGCCCGTGGAGACCTCAGTCACTGTGGGATTGGAGGCACAGGGCCAGCATGGGGTCCAGAAGCACCTGTGGGCAGAAGTGGGGGTCAGGCCCGGGGGAGGGGCCCCGGGGCTCTGCTCCATACTCTGTGCACACAGTCTCTCCAGGCCCCAGGAGAGACCCAATCCATGTCCTTGTCCGCTGGTTAGTTATTCATGGAGGCTCGCTCTCTGCCCCTCTTGTCAGTAAGTCAGGACCAGGGTGAGGTGGAAGACTCAGCTGACACAGGAACCCAGGGAGGATGGGCAGCGTGGGCTCTAGCAGCTAAAGCCACGATGACTGGACAGACGCTGGGAAGCACATGGTGTGTCCACAGGGCACAGAGTCCAGGCCGGGGCTGAGGGGCCCTTCGAGGAGGTGGACAGTGTGTCCGAGGGCAAAGCTGAGGCCTGGGGAGGGGCAGGTGGTCAGGGCCTATAGCAGCCGGGGAGGAGGGTGGCTCAGGAAGCTGGGAATGGTCCCCGTGAGAGGAGGTGGCGTGTCTGAGGACACTCTCCTGTGCCCGTGCAGCGCCCAATGGCCAGGCCAGCTCGCGCGGGACTCCACACCTGGGGCAGCTCCAGCTTGAACCCTGCTACCCGGGAGCCAGATGTTGGGCATGGCATCTGCCTATCCTGCCCTCTATGCCCTTCAGAGGGCAGGAGCAGCGTGGAGGACACCTGCAGCATCCTGACCAGGTTGCCACCCACACCCTCCACGGCACTCCGCCCCTTCACGGAGCACCGGCTTGTGGCGTGATGGCACGTGTGCCCAGTGGTCAGGTCCGCCACGGACTCTCGTCCCCCTCCACGGAGGGCCACACGGTTCCTGCATCCACATCTCAGAGCACACCCACACCGCTCACACTGCACCCCAACACCAGCATCCACCTCAGCACCTCACCACCACCCTCCACCACACACCTCACACCCACAGCACAGCCCCCACCACAGCTCCACAGCCCCTCACACAGCCTCACACCACACACCTCACACCCACAGCACAGCCCCCACCACAGCTCCACAGCCCCTCACTACACACCTAGCTTGATGTCACACCCACACCAAACATCATGCATGCACATCAAATACCCCAGATACCACACACGGCACGTCCCCCACAGCTCTAACCTGAGCCCACAGGGCTCACCTCAGCCCACTCTTCCTCACTCCTCACCTGTCGCCCTGGCTCTCACCCCCGCTCACTCTTCTACCTCACGTGACACCCACACCTCTCACTGCACCCCACATGTGCAGCAGCCCCACACACTCACCTCACTCCCACATCCCCTCATCTCTCCTGATTCCACACACCTTTATTTCACACCCACATGTCCCCCGAATCTGGTTGGCCCCCGATTATCCAGAAACAAGCAGGTTCTAGCTGGAAGCCAACACGAATGAACACTCAGAGCCCAGAACCCTGAGGAGGACAGGCTGCGGGACCAGCTGCCAACTTCAGCCCCTGGTGGTGGGGCGAGGCAGTGGTCAGGCCAGCGCCCTTCTCCCCATGGTCACCCTCTCAACTCCACTCGGGGTCTCCTCATCGTCCTGGCGTGCCTGGCGTCTGGCTGCACTTAGAGCAAAGGGGCCATGGAGTGGGAGCGTCAGACAAGCTTTGGGGTGGAGTCTAGACTAGGCTGACCTGTGCCGTCCGGACGCCCAGCCACCTGGCCGGGCAGCTCCTCCCAGTATTACCAATCAGCCCAGTGACGGGTCACGCACTGGCCACAGTCCCTGCCCAGCCCCGAGTGGACAAAGCCTCGCTGCCTCCCTAGGGGCCAGCCCCACACTCAGAGTGCCTAGATGAGTGGCCCTGCCCTGGCGTCCAGCACCTCGAGTCCTGGGCAAGCGGGAAGGCCGGGTGGCTGGCTGCCTTTGCCAGCCTCAGTGTCCACTCACAGGTGCGAGCTGCTGGGGGCCACCACTGCAGGCTAATGGGGCCCATCTGTGCTCCCAGGGGACACGAGACCTGCCGCAGACCCCACGGGCAGAGGGTGCTCTAAGTGATGGACACTTCTGGAAGGCAGTATTCTGGGAAAGGATCCATGGGCAGACACAGCAGTTGGCAGGGCCAGGTGGGGCAGTCCTCATGGTGGTCACTGAGGCTGCCCGAGATGTCTAGGTGGCTGGGCCATCCCTGCGTGAGACCACAGCTCTGTCCCAGGGCCAGCCATGACCACCCTGCAGTGCCGGACCCAGGAGGGGGCCAGAGCCAGAGGCCTCTACCTAATCAGGAAGTAAGACCGCTTCGGCCCGTGTGTCTGCTGGGCAGAGGCCACCCTTGAGGTATCCGAGGACCTGCAGGTGCCCTCTGCTCAGCCTGTGCCTGAAGCCCTGTCACCAAGGGGGTCTGCCCTTCCTCGGGGACAAGCCTGTCAGAGTCCAGTCCCAGTGAGCACAGCCAGCCGCGGACAGCAAGATTGCATGGTTTATTTCTGGATGTACAGTGTTTGCAGTGGTTCAAGTCCAGGGTCCCCTCCTGGCCGCACTCTGTGCCCTCTGTAGTGATGGCTGAGCGAGGGCCAGGGCTCCGGTTTGTCCTTCACGGCCTCCAAACGGTGACAGAGTGGGGATGGAATGAAGAGGACCTCCTGCCCGCAGCCCCGTCTGGACAAAGTCTGAGGCCTCTGTGGAAAGGAGCCCCAAGGCCTGGCTGTCCCCACCTGCCCGAGATGCTGCAGCCCCACTGCCTCCAGGCTAGACACTTGGATGACCCGACAGGCCCACAGGAATGTGAGGCCAGACCCTCTAGATGCCACTGAGGTCACTGACAGAGGATCCCCCCACCCGAGCTTGGTGTCCTTGGTGTCCCGTCCCCTATGCAGCAACCCAAGACAAGGAACAATGCAGAGCAGAGGGGAAGCCCAAAGCAGAGAACTGCTGAGAAGGTGTGCTCCCAGGGGCTGTGGGGGCAGATTCCACACCAAAAAAATGCCAGACCTCAGCTCCAATCCCAACAGCCCCTGAGATGCGCCCAGCTGGACCCCCCAACCCCCACAGAGGTCAAGTCCCCACTCTGGAGGGCAGGCTGCAGCTGTGAGCAGCTATGCAGGCTTTTGGGGTAACGCCCTATCGAGGCCACATTCTGGTGGTCAGAGCCATTTCTGCCTTGTTCATTCTTTCACACAGTCCACTCTTGGGGCACAGATGGGGTGTGGCGAGGAGGCCACCTGCTAGCCCCAGCCAGGCCAGCTGGGAGGCCAGTTTCTGAAGAGCCATGCTGAGGGCCACCACACGAGCGGCTGCACCCTGATATCACCCCCATGACGTGACCACAGAAACCGAACCCCTGACAAGCGAACAGATCTCAGCGGATCACGCCGCTGGGGCTGGTCTGGGGGGCCACTAGAGCTGGCCTGGACTCATGGGGGCTCCTGAGCGAGGACCCTGCCTGTGACCGGGGGTCTCCATTAGCAGGCTGCAGACTGCTGGTGGCAGTTTTGGAGACAGTGAGGAGTCCTTGCCATGCATATCCCACCTGGAGGTGTCTACAGGTACACACATGCAGACACGCGTGTGCACCCTCGTTTACGGGGGTGGCAGCTGGGGCTTCTATCTCATCACTGACAAGGGCGATGACAGTCCGAGCTGAGCCTACGTCCCCTGGCTCTGAAGCAGGGTGGTCCCACACCACAGCATCATTACTCACAGATGTGGCCATCTGCTGAGAGGGAACATCGGGCTGTGGCGTGTCCTCCCTCGAGCCATAGCCCAGGGGGTGCCCAGAGGACCATACGGGCAAAGCTGGACTGGGAAGGGGAAGGCGACACCCCAAAAGCCCCCGCTCGTCCACCACCTGCTCTCCTGGCCACACATGTACTAAAAATGAAAGAATTTGGGAGCCCGGCCTGAGGCCTGGGCCCACTGTGGGCCATCGAGTCCCAAACACTCCTTTTTAGTCTTGGGAAAGCAGCTGCAAGTGACCTCCCCTTGGCACGCTGACTACCCAAACACCGGCTGTACCTGTGTCTGAACAGCTGCCAACAGACACGAGCCAAGCATGGCCTCGGCCAGTCCACCTTGTGTGCAGCGGCCGACTAAGCCCGCAGGGAGGTTACCTCGGCCGGCATCAAACCAGCCTGGTCTTCCCTGACTTGAGCCCGGGAGCTGCAGTCCTGAGAAGGACCCCGTGCTGCCCCTGGAGGAGGGCCTGGCAGTGGTGACGCCATCACCCTACCCTACTCCACAAGCCTGCGTCCCCTCAGCTGAGGGCAGGGCTCGGAGGGACTGGGGTCTGCCCCAAATGACTGTCCCCACACCATGAGCCCTGGACCTGCTGAGTGCGGCCGGGCACGGCTGTGCAGGGCGGAGTGGGCAGGTAGGTGGTGATGCCCTGGGGGCTGGCTAGGACAGGGCCTGCTTGGCCAGGCAGTGGACAGCACCGAGGCTGTGGCTACTGGACAGGCTGCCTGGTGTAGTGAGTGGAGCTCACCCTCCGTCCCTCAGTTCTCATGGGGCAGTGGGTATTTCCAGATGCCCACAGCTCTTGGAACTCAAACTGGCACAGATGCATAAATGGGGTGGGGGGACAGAGGTCACAGATGGGCCGAGGTCATGCTCAGGTGACGTGAAGGGGCACTCAGTTACTGAGGTGCCAGCTCTGCTTGGGCTCCCACCCTGTGTGGCCCAGGGCCCCAGTCACACAGCTTACATGGATATAAATAACATTAAAATTCATCTCTTTACTGATAGAATTAAATTTCAAATCCTGAGAAGAAAGAGACAGGGAGGGATGAGCTGGTGTCTGCTGCCCACCCCCTGGCATGCCCAGGTCTGGAGACCCAGGCCACCTGCATCTGGCTAGGGTGCCCTCCAGGGTGCAGTGACACCAACTCCCACCCGGGGATGGCTGACGGACAAGCAGCTGCCGTGGAAGCAGGGCCCTGTGCCCAACGCAGAAGCGGCCCTGGCCCGGCCCCGCCCCGCCGCAGGACACAGCTGTGAGCGCGTGGACACCAGCGTGGCGGGGAGCGGAGCGGCTGCGCTCGCCCTCGGGCCCCCGGGCTCGCCGACGCCCCGGGCCACCCTGCACGGTCCCCGCCGCCTCCTGGCCGCCCGGCCCTGCGCGCCCTCCTGACCGCCTGCGCCCGGCCTCAGCCCGTGGTGCCCTGGTGCGCGCCGCGCAGACACGCCAGCAGCCGGTGGTACGGGCTGCCCGGCGCCGCCACCACCTCGAACACCGACTGGAAGGCTCTGCGGTCGAGTTCCTCCTCTATCTGGTGTCGGTAAAAGTCCGTGGCAACGAGGCAGAAGAGGTTCACGTCCACGGGCTCCAGCTTGCCCATCCTGCTGATGACGTGCGGGAGACTGCGAGGGGGTTAAGGAAGAGCCCACACGGCAGCCAGGGCAGCCCGGCCTGTCGCCCCTGCAGCCTCCGGAGGCCGCCGCCCGCACTTACCCTGCCCGGCTCGGTGGGCCGGCTGGCGGCGGCTGCTCCCGCTGCTCCGGCCTGGGAGCCAGTGGCTGCTGCCCGCCCGGGCCCCGCGTGTCGGCACCACACAGCCGCCTGCTTTAATGCTCTGTGGCCTGTCTGGGGAACCTGCCAAGGGGGGCCCTCTGGCCGGGACGGCGCTCCAGGGGTGGGAACCAGACCTTCCTAGACTTGTGCCTGAGGGGATGGCACGGGTGTGGAGGCAGAGAGTAACCAGAAGCCGCGTCACTGGATGCCCCCCACTGGACAGAATGAGGTCAGGCAATGTCTGCTGTGGACAGAGCAGGGCCAGGCTCACACAGCTGTGTCCCCCAGGGAGCTAGTTGGACCCCCAGGAAGCCACGAGGCTCAGCCCCTCTCACATGGCCTTAGGCTCTGGTTCGAGACACGGCCGAGGATGGGGACTGGCTTCCGTTTCCTTGTCTCACAGGTTCTGTCTGAACTGCACCTTATTTGTGTGTGTTCTCAAGGACTGGGCTGAACAGCACCACATACTCGGGCTTTCTTGGCCCGAGGTGGACGGTAGCCTACAGTGTTCTCTGTAGAGGGCTGGGCTGAGCTGAAGGGCGCCGCATCTGGGTTTCCTGGCCCGAGGACACTGCACCTCACTGGTGTGTGTCCTCTTGGGCAGAGGGAGAGGGCTCTGATCTGGGTGCATTTTTTCTGGCTGCAGGAAATGGCACCTAGTTTGTGTGCTACTGGGCTGAGGTACCGGGCACTTTGCTGGACACTGTTCTACGGGCTGAGGGAAGCAGGCAGACAGCACCACATCTGCACGTGTCCCCTAGAGTTCAGGTCTTCATGGGTATTTGTTCTTATGGGCTGAGGCAAAGAGCACCTTGACACCTAGGAGTTTGTGTTTTGGCAGAGATTGCGTCTCTGAACTTTAAAAAGAAACCCAGGAATTGCATGCTGCCAGGAGTGGTGAACTGTCGGGGAGCAGGGCAGGGGCCGAGGAAAGGATACACGGCTGACACCCAGGGGCTGGTGGAGGCGCTGACGAAGAAGCAGGAGAGGCTCCACATGGCCATGGCCACGGGCGTGCGCTGCGTGAAGTTGGAGAGTGAGAGCATGACCCAGTCTCGTACCATGGATGACTGCCCTGTGCTGTGCAGCGTTTGGAAGACCTGGAGGAGAACGGGGCTGGGCTGTAGGGCCGGCGGGCGTGAGGTGCCCCTGGGCATGCCCCGTGGGGACACTGGCCCTGACGCTGTGTGGCAGAGCCATGTGACGAGGCTGTGGGCCCCACCCCCGCCCAGTGACCCCAGTCACCTTGTACACGACCGTGGCCATGAACTGAGGGTACGGCTGCTGGTTGGACAGGAACTCTCCGATGACTTTGTTCATGACATCCTGGGGTGGGAAGAAGTCATCCAGGAACTGTGGGAGAATCCGGGCCACCACCCTGGCTTCACAGGGAAACCCCTTCCGGATCCTGAGAGGAGGTGGATGTGGTCAGGGCCTCGCCTGGACACCAGCACCCTTGTCCCAGGACTCGTGCTGACCTGGCTCCAGGGCTCTAGGGAGGTGGGGCCCCACCGCTCCCTGTCCCCTCAGCCAGTTACTGCGTTAGCCAAAAGGAGCGACTGAGTCTTGCAGAGAAAAGCTCACGATGCAGACGGAAGTCAAAGACCTCAGAATTGCTATCTCCCCGTGAGAAGCCTACGAGACCCTACCGTGTGTCCTGAAGCCTGGAGCCCCTGTCTCTTCCTGACATGACATAAACCCTGCCTCGGTGTCTCCTCAGAGCCCCCAGACCGTCATCTTGGTTCTACTGTGTACACTGGACAACTGTAGTGATAGAACACGCCAGAGCTACCTAGAGCCTGGCTTAGCTGCCTCCGGGTGTGCAGGGCACAGCTGCAGCCTGTCCCCCCACCTGTCCACCCTCGTGCAGATGAGCCGCACACTGCGCTACCATGGGCTCCTGAGATGCCCTCACCTTAGCCGAGGTCGAGAACACGTACTGGGGTTAGGGACCTACGTGTCACGGGACGCGGTGAGCACAAGGGGAGGGATAATGACCTCCAATGGCAGGATGGTATGGCCTGACCTGAGTGTGGGCACCGAGAGCGGGGGATGGGCTCTCAGAGGAGACTCGACTTCCCCAAAAGCAATGAGACCGGCTGAGGGGACTGGCCGTGGGCAGGTTGGACTCAGTACTCCTGAGCCAGGAGCCCCAGGGAGGGGTCAGGAGCACGGGGCCTATTGAGGGGTCCTGAGCCGGGAGCCCCAGGGAGAGGCCCTGAGTGGGGCTCCACCGCTATACCCAGAGGCCCTGCCTGAGGTGGGCGAGTGTCCTGCTGGAACTTCAGGACAGTTGGGGGCGGAGAGGCAGGTGTCATGCCTTACCTGTCAAAAAGGACAGATACCCGCTCCATAGCGACAATCACTGACTCGCTGTCTGGGGCTGAGGAGTTGGGGTCTGCTGTCCTCCCAGGACTGACCTTCTCCTTCCCTGGAACAGAGTGGTCCAGTCTGCGTCAGTACGTGACACTAGAGAAGGCTGCGGACGCGTGTAACACACAGGGCCCCACACAGGGTGCCTGGACCCTGTGTCACTGCTGCTCGCAGGTCCTGACCCTGCCCAGGGGTCCCGACTGCCCCACCCCTGCAGGGTACGGGCTCCGTGACCCCCTCCACACACCGGTGTACATGCAGGTGAGCATCAGGCCCAGGGCCGCCATGGCGCGGTGCGGGCTGTGAACGTTGACGCGGTCCACGCTCAGCTTGACCAAGGACTCTGCGTCCAGCCGCGAGAGCTGTTCCGAGAGGAGGAGACGCTCCAGGCCCCGTAAGACACAGTGGAACACGGCGGACGGTGTGGCCTCCTCGCTGCCCGACAGCATCACGCCGCACATCTGGTCAGGAGACAGGCTGCTTGTGCACGGCCTCGGCCACCTGCGTCCCGCGCAGACCGAACATGCCAGGCCGGGGGACGCCCACCTGCACGGGGCTCACCTGGATGATGGAAGCAGAGAACTCGGGCCCCACATCCAGCGGGTAGTTCTCGATCAGGTAGAAGGCTGTGGCACACATGAGCAGGACGTGCTGCTGACTGTGGACGTTCACGCAGCTGGAACGTGGACAGCAGAGGGTCCAGCCGTTAGTGGTGCGTGGGATCCAGGTGGGCAGCAGCACACGCCCCTCGTGCACCTAAGCAGCTCTCGTGTGACTGTGAGACCCCAGACGCCCCACCCTGTCTGTGTTCAGAACCTCCTGGGGCACGTACGACGCTGGACAGTGGACCTAGACACGGCCTGACCCTGTCCCAGCATGCCCTGCTCCTCTGCCCAGTGGCTGCAGACATGGGCACCCCTGGGCTCGCCAGGTGAGGCAGCCTGAGCTCTCGGATTGGCTCCCTGCTCTGTCCCCCCTGCCCCCAGTGTCCGCAGTGCTCTTGAAGGAACCTGTCTGGGCCTGGCTCAGGGGCGGGGGGACCCATGACAGTGACCACCACCTCATAGTGGCGAGAGGCAGTCAACAGAAACAGCCCTTGCCAGCGTGGCCTGCATGGAGCAGGGGCGTCGCCCACACCTACTGTCCTGTCCTGGACCCTCCCACACAGCTCATCTGTGCCATCTGGGCCTGGAGGCCTCACCAACTCCTCTCAATTCTGCTGCCACACCCTGGGCGACAGGACAGCTGACTCCCCCCCCTCGTCCCTGCAGACGTCAGTGTCTCTGTGGCAGCTCCTCTAGCAACCTCGACACTGGGCGGTGACCTGCCCTCTGGAACAGTGACCTGAATGTGCAGCCCGGACCCTGGCTGAGCTGATGGAGCCAGCTGTGGGAGCTCGTCTTTCTCAGGAGTTCACACCAACTGCTTTCTTAGTGTACGTCTGTGTTAAGGAGGGGGTGTGCCGGGGGACAGGGCGGGGGCATGGGCAGTGCCGGGGCCGGGAAGTCTGTAGGAGTGGAGGTCATGGGCATTAGAAGAAGCTTGGTGCCAGACAGCCATGTCTGCTGCTGAGGGCATGATGGGACGTGCATGTCGGACACTGTGGAGGGGACACGTGGGGACACTGGAGGGGACACTGTGGAGGGTACACGTGGGGACACTGTGGAGGGGGCACGTGGGGACACTGTGGAAGGGACATGTGGGGACACTGTGGAGGGGACACGTGGGGACACTGTGGAGGGGACACGTGGGGACACTGTGGAGGGGACACTGGAAGGGACATGTGGGGACACTGTGGAGGGGACACGTGGGGACACTGGAGGGGACACTGTGGAGGGGACAC